TCCAATATTGTATGTTTAATGTATCATAACAGACATAAACGCATCGGTTGCGGAAATCAGGTTAGGGTTGGGTAAAGTAGTGCAATGCCAAAACTGTTGCAATGCATACTTGAAGCACAATTAATATGAGAACTGTTTATTTTTCAAATTACTAATTTGTACGTAAATTTTACACTGCATTGTACGGTGATTGAAAGATCGGTTGGAAACAGGGGTTTTAAAGAAAGCGATAGTAGATATGATAATTTCCAATTAGTTTGTTGGATCAATCAACCTCGGGTATTTATGTGTAACATTAGATAATGTTAATGATCAGTTTACATTTTGTACGAAATAGTGTACACTTGTGATGATCTATATACACGTTGTCACATTCAGTCTGATGGGTGGCATTAGATAAAATGCATATGTATGCAATGCTCTCAGCATGTTTTATTTCCCGAAAGATGCCTTTTTATAATATGATTGGAAATGTAAATGGATGTTATTCAAGTTTTGTAGGTTTGCCATGCCGTAAAAAGTTCATCCCATGGTTTCATTAGCAAATTGTGTTTATACTGTTGCGAAGTGCATGTACACCATCAGGAATATAACAGTTGATCACTAATTGATTTAAATGTTATCATTTGGAGGGATTGTTTTTGGAATTTTTATAAAGACATTGTTCTTTATACCTTGAAGTTCAGTACAGTCATTTGTCATTTTCTATTTTAAAGATGGCCAATAAACATTGAGTCTTCATTATCTGACTTTTTTCATATTAATACCATACAATGTAAGCTCATGTAAACAATATGAAGTTTCTTTATTAGATGAGAAAAAAAACTATTGATAAAAAAATAGTGTTTTAACATGCTTTCAAGTAGAAAGACTTCGATAATCTGTTTATCGTACTGTTTTACTTGAACTTGTTTAAAAGCTTACAAACGAATGTTAATATGTTGTATGAATACGCATCAAGTTAACCATAATGAAAAAGCTCATATACGCTTGGACAACATGATTTCGGCAACTCTTTAAAAAGTTATCCTTTGTTATATAATATATTCATTAAAGTTAAATTTAAAAAAAAAAGAGGTTATAACCCGATGTTTTATGATAAAATGTGCAAGTCTATAAGAGATCTTAAATTTTCTGAAACAATAAATCTATTGATTGAACAGAAAAATTAAAAAAAAAGATGTTAAGTCTTGTTTTGTCGTGGAGCTTGATTATTCTAACAGGAAAAAAGGAAACGAAGTGAATGTATCGGCAATATTATTCTAAATATTACTTCCACAAATTATCAAACATTGTACTATTTAGGTGTTTTCTATATTTTACATCTATTTACGCATTAAAGATAACCAAGAAGCCCTAAGTCTAATCTTATACTTTTTTATAAGGATATTTACAAGTATAAAGATTTATCTCGATAAAAACTTATATTTACATTAGCAATGATGGCAAACGTGTGTAAAGTTTTTTTTCTGGATTTACGTGAATCCGGTCCAGTAGTAGATGTACTTGGCCTGAATAAGTCTTACATGTAAACTCGAAACTTAAACTTTTAACAGAATGTAAAAAAAGCTTTATTTACAATTGAACTATTAGAGAATGTACTTAACACTGTCACAATTCATTATTGTACATTCAGCAGAGTGTATTATGAATAAAAAGACTTTTAATAATACATACATGAAACGAATGTATATTGGATTTTAGAAAACAGATAAGTACGTGTAAATGATTAAATATATATATAAGAAAATTTATTTTGCCATAGGCAAAAGGGAGGAGTAATAAATACACTACAGCTATCTGAGGACAAAAATTCATATTTAATGTTTACCATAACTGTTAAATTAGTATTATTCATTTTTTTAAATCCACATGTAAAATATACCTGCATGTAGTCTAGCCATATTTCTTTAGTTTATTTATTGAAATATAAGCAAACTAATTTTTAATAAGATAAGAAATATTTTGCTTTCAATTTCTGTTGAAATGTTGCCTTAAAAAGTAACACAATTAATGTATATGTATCTGAAGATTTATATTGCTTTTAGCGTTTGAAAGCACGAAAGCCAATTTGGGAAATATCAAAAATATAGTTTGATTTTGTTTTTAAAGACTTAAAGACGTTAAAAAAACCTTGCAAATTCACAATGAATACATAATTATGAATTTTTCGTCGAACTATAACACAAAATTTATTTTAACGGATATCAAAAATTTTAAAAAATAGTAACATATGATAAATTCACAAATTCTGCAAAATCTTTATAAATAGCAAGAGGTGTGTGGTATAAGACAATTCCATTATGTATATAAGTATAAGAAGGTGTGGTATTTCCATTTTTCATTGAGACAAGTATTTCAAAGACCAAAGGTCAAGGAATTAAACAACATAAGGTCATCGTACCTCCTTCAACAATGAGAAAAACCCATACCCTATAGCAAGCTATAAAAGGCTCCGCGATGACAAAATACGAAATAATTCAATAGAATCATTCTGTGAGCTGTCAACCTGGTAATAGTACAACATTAGATCAAAACTGTAATAGTTAGTTGAAATATTTCATCAGATCGGTACTAAGCATAATCTATTCATGTGTGACCATACTAAAATGAAAGCTATAAAAGAAAAAATTCTATACTATAAAAAATATTCTGAATATAGAAAAAATGAAAAGGTGTTTACATTATGTCATATTCAATTCATGGATTGTTAAATAAAACAATATTTGTAACAGAAAACAATTGCGTTACTATTGAATTGAAAAAAATGGTAATGTAACATTAGAATAGTAAGGCTAGTTCTATTCTAAATATCTATGTCACAGATGACCTCTGATATGTTCCAATTGCCGAAGCTACAATCCCATCTTCTTTTTCTCGATTGTCACATTACCGTATTAGACTTATCACCAAATGATTTTAATATGAGCAAAACGGCGGTTCTTTTATACATTTATTTGTTTAGGTGTTGTAAGATTTATTTTCTTATCATGTATTGTGTTATGTTGCTTATAATATAAAAATACCCTAATGTGTCTGATGTTTATATGATTAATTGATTTTTGTTGGCTAAACGTTCAGTAGCAAATACTTCATGCATATTTAAGACGAGAAAAAAAAAACCAATACAATAGGTAAATAATACAAGGTAGGCCGACCGGGATGAAGGATGGAAAATTTTGACGCCATTGGAACATGAGAGTATGTTTGGAATGGGAAGAAATTTTGACTTGCAACAATGTTTACCTGTTGGGCTTTGGGGGTTAATAAAGCACTTGAACTTGAAGGACCTAGCAACCAGAAGTATTTTATTTTTAACGGGTTTCAAATTCGTTATTATGATTTTTCTAATTGATTATTTATCAAATTCACAATCACAAATTTTAAAACCTGCTATACGTAGTATACATTAGCCAATATGCATGGTTGTTCAAACGACACAAATACAATTAAAAAACTTAATATATTTGAAATATTGGACAATTTCATGGTGCAAAACTTTTTTATTGAATAATTTGTACAAGAAGCATAATTATTATTATATTGAACACACTCTGATTTTATGTTTTTATTCCTCATTCTATCAGTATAGTTGAATGTTTTCTATGCATGTACAGTTATATAATTTATATTCTCAATGAGAGCTTAAAAAATAAAAACTATATATTGTTATTCATGTTTGTATAAAATAGTGATTTAATTAAAGACAAGTAAATGTTCTTTTACATGATTTTTGACGTGTTATAAAACTATGAATTTCAAGTCCAATGTTCTGTTTTTACTTATTGTTTTTGATTGCCATTTGGTATCTCTTCCTATTGTTTTGGTTAAAAACCTTTCCAATTAAGTTCCAACAATCCCTGGCAGTCAGTTGATTTTTTTTCTCTGTTTTGATATTACAGTTTAAGACGGGTTTAAAGAATCATATTTTACTAATCCCAATATCGTAATGAAAAAGAAGCATAATTTTTCAATGAAAATGAGTGCTATGTTGTTACAATAACATGTGTAACATAACATGTCAGTTTGGGATCTCAATGCAATCGAGCATTAAAGATGGGTAGGAATTTTCATTTTTATGTATCTGCCAAGAAATGCTATACATTGGATGGTTTGATAAAGTATAGTAAGTATTATACCGCATAAAGATGTTCATAAAGTGGACAGTGACAAGTTTTAATTTCTTTGTTCTTTTGCCAGACAAAAACTTTAGCGAAACCCTTCAAAGTTAGATTGACGAAGTTTTAGTGAAGCTTAACATAATGGTAGTATACCACTATAAGACATGCGGAAGAGTCTTACAACAAATGAAATTCTGTTTTACTGTTATAATTATAGCGATAACATATTTTAGTAACTTAATTCTTTTAAACATGTAAAACTGTAATTAAACAAATGGAAGTGAATGTGAGCAACGTTTCGTAAAATGAATGATACATGTGCTTGATGACATGGAGCCGTTTCTATATTCATTGATTAGAAATGTCCCTTTTGATACTCAAACAAAAACAAATGAAGGAAAGTGTAAATATATTTACAATTAATATAGGATTGCGATTTTCTAATACTCCAGTAAAAAAAATAACAGCACTAAATTATCTAAATTTCAAAATTCAACACGACATACAACATTTTGACAAAATGTATATACATACATATATATGTATGTTATCAATAACATTACCGGTACCAATTTTTCTGCAACAGATGCGCATTTCGACAAAAAATGTCTCTTCAGTGATGCTTGAGGCTGAAATATTAAAAGACCCAAAACTTATTAAAAATATGATGAGCTTATAAAGCAAAAAGGACAAAAAGTATAGCCAAAGCCGGCCAAGATTTAAATAAGGCAGATATGTTCCTTAATTCAAATAATTTTCAAAAGTTTGTACCAGCAAATTTAAATAGCACAATATCCATAATTTCATGCCAGTACTGAACTAATGACAATACAGAAATGTAGACAATGGATTAGAATAATAACAATATCTTATACATACCCGTATCATGTTAGTATCCATTTGACAAATTCCTGATAATTATCTGTTTTTCAATGTAATATTTGTAGTTACTAACTTTCACCATGTTACGATGTTTCTCAATTAATATCAATTGACTCTACCCCCAAAATGATACTCCCCCGCTTACGTGGATATAGCAATACCAAAAATACAGTCTATGACATAGTCACGGCAAAACTTTATTTTTAATAAAAGTTAAATGCCATGCTAAAATATTTATCACAAAAGTACTATCCCGATGGTGTCACAACCAGTTTAATCAGCCAGTAGGGAATGAATTATCACTACTGGGGCTGGCGTTACTGTATTTTTTGCCCTTCGGTTCATCTCTTGATTAATTAGATCAGTCGATATGAATGTTTTAGGTAATGAGACATTTTATTGGAAGGTGATAATTAGTATATGAGTGTGATAATGATTGGTTTCATAGGATATTGTATATATGAAGTTGTTTTAGACAAAATTAAACCACAATAGTATGATATTGGACATTTGAAGGCTAATTGGGTATGATAAGTATCGCGTAGATTAGAAAACTGTCGTTAGCTCGTATAAAATTAATAAGAGTGCATGACAATTGACTGCAGGGTTCCAGAGTCTACTTGATTATATTGGACCAAATTTACAGGAAATTCTGTAATCGTCAAGAAACAGGATTACGATTCCATACAATGACTGACGCTCCATTGTATATTTCTTTCTCTTTGATTTAAAAATTTGCATGTCTTCGTTATTTATGTTGACTATAATCTCTCAAGTATAAGATTCAGATTAAGTTTTAAAATACTTGGATAAGTAACAAAGGTATGGAAGGAATATTTCAACCGTTAAGCCCATACACGATTTCTGGATCCCAATTATTGTCACGTTCACAAATTACGTCCATTTTGATTGCTCACCCGATGTTGTCAATATTAAGGAACTATCATCAATAGTCATACAAGTGGGAGGTTTAGCTAGCTATACAGTTAGATTTAACTCACTAATTTCTTAGGAAAATGCCTGTACCAAGTCAGGAATATGACAGTTGTTTCCCATTCGTTCCATTTGTTGATATAAATTTGTTAGGTTTTATGGACTTCCCCATTTTTGAATAGAGTTCAGAATTGTTGTTAATATTTGTTTTGGTCTATACTTGATCATGAAAGATTTGAGTAAATAGTGTATTTCGTGAGCTTGTTTTGCTTTTGTGTCAGTGTTTTTTATGTTAAGTTAATGACTTCTAAAAATAAGGAGATGTGGTATGATGGCCAATGAGAAAACTATCAACCAGAGACCAAAGGACGAGGATGTAGTAGGATACTAGCTGACCTTCAACAATGAACAAAACCCTTACCGTATAATAATCTATAAAAGACCCGAATATGATAAAATGTGAATCTATTCAAAAGTGAAAAGCAAACAGCCTAATTTATGCTTAAAAACATAAACAAAAACCAAACAAATAAGGCTCATGACTTGGGACAAGCTCAACGCATGATGTAGTGTTAAATAAGTGTGTGTAAGCACTCAACTCTCTCCTAACCTTGAACATTGGTGTTACAGCACAATATAGGAACACACTATAAACAGTTGGAAAAAAGTAAAATAACAAAAATACCAAACTCCAAGGAACATTCAAAACGGAGAGTCCCTTATCAAATGGCAAAATCAAAAGCTCAAACACATTAAACGAAAGGAAAACAGCTGTCATATTCCTGACTTGGTACAGACATTTCCTTGAGAAAATGGTGGTGTTAAATCTGGTTTTAAAGCTAGACAAACCTTTAACTTGCATGACAGTTGCATACAATTCTATTATATTGACAACAATGTGTGAGCAAAGCAAACAGACATTATTGGTAAAAATGTCAAAAATGAGGGTCGACACATCAGATTGGCAATACAGACGCAAAAAGTCCTAACAAAAAACAACATATAATGTAGCGATTTAAGCGTACACAAAGCTAATGTAAGCTAGTTCAGAGCCAATTATAACTAATAAATTATGCCCTTTTTCCCAGACTTTGCTTTCAATCAGTTAGCATCCAAAGGACTTAGTGTAAATACATGATAAACAATCTTAGAAAATTATGACCTTGTACAACGACAAAATATAAGTATCTTCTATGTCATTTAGTCTCTGGTATAGAGTTGTCTCATTGGCATTGATACCACATCTTCTTATTATATCGGAAGGATATATGACCAAAAATTATTCATGACTGTATAGCCATACATATTTAGCTATGTGTTAGTACCGATGAAGACCATATTTAATATTTACAGTGTTAAATATTAGAACAAAAACTTTTGTGTTGACATGCCATATACCTTTTCTGTAAATTTAGTGTTCATAAAATGTTTAATTAATCGAAACATCTAGGTTTTTCTACCCCAAGGCATAGATGGCCATAGCCGTATTTGGTACAACTTTTCAGAATTTTAGGTTTTGAATGCTCTTCAACTTCGTATATAATTAAGCCTTTCCACTGTTTGGTATTTGAGCGCCACTGATGAGTCTTTATATAGACGAAACGAGTGTATGGCGTACCAGTTTTTACGTACACTGGATATTTATAACCTTTCAGAATACAATAATACTTTTATTAAAAGGATACCTAGGTAAACATGGATCGTATCTTAATTTACAGGCTCTATTAACAACATTCCCGTTAACATTAGGACTATCCCGTTTGTAGTAAGATATCCACAAGTACAGTCAAACTTTTAAAGTTAATCTTTGTATCTATTAAAGAACTTAGTAAAAGTTTTCATTAATTTGTGACAGGGAAATCCCGGATATGATAATTTACCAGTTATACAAATATTACGTTAGTTGAAAAAAAAACATCAATACAAACTCGGACATAGCGAACGAGTTAGGAATACTGTTCAAGGTCAAATACGTTGTTGCAGAATTATCTACTCTGCGCCTCTATAAGATGTTCAGGAAAAAATATAAACAGAAAAGTATTAACTTATATTACCTATAAGAGACTAAAAGTTAATACAGGAATTTATGTCAGACAGGAAACTGTTTCAAATACATTTTCTGAATATTAAAAAGCAAGAAATATTGAAATGGAATTTGACAAATCAAATATTGTAAAAATATGTGCACTTCTTGTGGTTCTGTTTTTCAAATTTCTCTGAACTTATACGAATATATTTTCTGGTATAACACACTCAAATTTCGTAGAAGTAAAATAAAACTTAAACGATAAACGACAGGAGAGTTTGAGTTTGATACTACAGAGAAAAACAAGAATAATGTAGAAACAAATAAAAGATATTATTTGTATGAATGATTAACACTTAAATCGTCATGATCAAAGTATGTTTATACATAGTATCTTTCAGCAGTTAATGTCAGCCATATGATTGTAATGAGTAGAACTAAAAGTAAACTACATTCTTAAAATACTTTTTTGTTTCCTATCTGGAATTAATGAATTGGAATTCCTGCTAACGCGTAGGCTAAATCTCAGATGAAGTATACACGGGTTCCGTGTATACATTTTGTACGATCTTAGTCTATCTGTCCTTCTTTTGTCATTCGTGACTTATTTTTACATGACATTTTTAAAGGAAGTTTTCCTCGTTTGATTTTTTAGAAAGGAGTGCTCAGCCATTGGAAACACGGTGTAATGTTTAGTACTAGATAGAAATGAATTAAAGCAAAAAATAAATTAAAGAAGACCAAAAACAAATGCGCCGAGAACATATGAACCATATTCACGACACATACTGTTGTTGTTTAGGGTGACATTTAATGTTTTCTTGCAATGGTTGTTCTGGTTAATTATTAAGACCAACTTGTATCAACAGGTGAAAGATTGCAAATGTCAAAATATGATAACTTGTATAAAAAGCCTTTACAAAATATCATTTGTACACAATAACAACATACATACATATAAATCAATCTTAAATTATTCAACAACTTGTTACACAATCAAGCAAAAATGATTTACGTTTGTAAAAATATTAATAATTATAAGTTATAATCTTATAAATTTGTTCTTTTAAATGAAAATTCACAATAGTTAATTGCATTCCTCAACAAATTTTGCTGACTTGATTGAAAATCTGGACCTTAGGTTCTCTGCTATTTTACAATCCAAGATGGCGATAGACACCCATACTATCTTAAATCAGTTAAGATTATCACATTTAAATCTAAAGTTTAATTCATCTACTTCATATTTAAAAGGAGGTAACGGTATCATTCTAGTTTTCTATGATTTTATATGTTATCATTTTCAATAACTAAACAGTGTTTGCTAATTTTGATTTTCATAAAATTATAAACATCTGATTCCCTAATTTTCATGCTTTTTTCACATTTGTCGATCGGTGTGAGAAAAATATTTCTCATCTGTAGAGAAAACTTTATTTTCGGCAAATGATTTGTCGAAATTTAATCATGACGTCAAATTTTCTTGGTTTCTTCTGAATTTCCTACTGTGACGTCATGAAAAAAGGCGACCATTCCTGATGATGTAACATATAAAGAACACAACTTTCTGCAAATCTTTGAAAAGGAAGGATAAACTTTGTTAAGATATTCCCTTAAAATCTTTAGACAAACAGATTCCACCACTATAACTCGTGTATTATGATATTTCTCCACTCTCAACAGTCAAATTTTTATTATTTAAAAAGCTCGGCGAGCCTCGTGGTTTAAATTTTAAAATTTAACTGTCTCGAGTGGAGAAATATCGTAACACACTTGATGGAATCTATATTTCTCCTTTATCTAATACCAAAGAAATTCCACTAACAAAGATTAATTTCAGTTTCCTATATGTTCTTGATTTGCTCGTTTTTCTTCTAGAAAATCTGTAGATTTGTTCCCTAATTTTCTGTATAATTTTGTATGAACCGTAAAATATAGTTGGTTCTTAATAAATGAAATCTTTTTCCAATGTGTCAGAAAGAGGTGTGAGGTATATGGTAATGAAATAGCAACCCAAAGGACATACAACAGATAAATATTAAAAGTAAGGTGGAAGTGATCTCTCGAACGAAAACTTTAAAACTGAAAAGAAAAATATATTTTTTACTTATTGCTAGAAAATGTGTAGATTAAAAGAACAGTTACATTATTTTTAGTTGTTTATCAAAAGAGGATTTTATAAAGCAATAAAGGTTTAACACATTCTTCAAACAATTAAAGATTTAAAAACATATCAACCTTAATATACTGTTCAACAATCCTACTTTTCACCAGATAGCAAATAAACAATATGTACACCTTAAGCAAATATACAAATGTTCTTCAAAACAATTCTTGCTTGAAAAAAAAACATTTACTAT